CCAGCATATCCCCTGTAGTTTTTCCTCGAAAGAGTTAGTTTCATTAAATATTCTGAACTGTCTACAGGTTATATTTTCAAAAAGCAATTGTTAACGACAGTTTATATTACTTTTTAAAAACAATGTTAAACGCTTATTTTCACATTTTATTCCTAGCCTCTACGATGTCTTCTGCAACTTCAGAAACAAAAATGTTTATATTACCATAATTACAAAATTATATATACTTAGTTCTTGAATTGATAAGTCTAAAAATAAAGTATACAGGAAAAAATATTTGATATTTATAAAATTATTTTTTCTATAAATAATTAAGTTGGTACGCAATACAGAAATTTATTGTTATAGGACTTATTATTAGAACCTTTCCTCATTCATAGAGAGATTTTAGTCTTTCTACGTTTATCAGACGATTACAAAACAATTGGAAACCGTCATCGTGCGTTATCTCTTCGCGGAAAATCTGGCATCCTCTTTCAGGCAGGTCTGCCCGTAAACTTGCGAAACATATTTTAGTATCGGCGCATGCGGAGACTACTTATGCAATCGAAACATGTTGAACTAGTTCTAAAAAAAAGTATCTGCCTATCTATGAGCGTGCGGAAAGTACCAAGTACACATGTTATATATGCTCTTGCCATTCCTCGAAAACTTAAGATATAGTATTCGTTGATTTATTTAGAACTGCATTTGACAGGTCGTCATCTGTCACGGTGTCATTCGTCATCCCGAATGGATGACACCGTAACAGCTGATTTACGTGAAGTGCAGTTAAGTGCAGGTATAGAGGAGTTACTCTAAGAAGGGACCAGTTTGATAGGTGGGGAAGTAACTGAACGTCATGCAGGGTGACGACTTTGCAAGAGAGTATTGAACCCATTTACTAATGAGCTAACTGTAAACGAACGCACTCACAAAATTAGTGTACGAACATAGCCCGGAGTTATGTTACCAACAGTGGCCAGCAGTAGCTGTCTAAGAGGTCCCTTCTAGTGGAAATCTCTATTTTCTAAGACCAACGAGTAGAAAATGATAGTAATAAATTGTTAAATACAGGAAGCAATAGGTGTCTGTCGCCCGCTATTGGTGTTTTCTGGGTATTGAAATGACGTTGGTATGCGACTGCTAAATGCGCTAATAGTACAATTTCCAGTTACAGTAACAATTACTTCGGAAATAAGCGTAAAAATTACAAAACTCGCACATGATCCACAATGCTGAAAATTGGGAACAAGGCATATCGATGGAATATTTTTTTTAACTTTGCCAGTAATCGATTTCTGAGTTACTATTTACAAATGAGTCGTGTTCCAAGTCCAATATACATTGAGGATTTCAGTTATCACTACAACGAAACACTTCCTGAAACCCCACAATTTCTGAGTAGGCCCTCCATTGTAGGAATCTTCTTATCAGGAGCTCACAACTTCAATACCAATATTTAATGTTTCTTAGGGAACGAAAAACAGACGGCGATCATTCATTCCTCCTTCCTGTTCCAAAAAAGGTTAATTTGTTAATGCATGGACGGCTGCCCGTTATGTGAATTAATGGAATGTGTCAGGCATCGGGCTGAAAAAGTACAGTCCAAATAAAAACTAGAAGTATTAAGTACTATGCGGAAGGATAAATTAGTTCTCAAATGAAAATTGAATGTAATCTAGATATGAAATCGCTTGAGAGAACCGCTGAAAGAAGCTAGCGAGACGGCAAACTGTTGGGTCTGACCACAGAGAACAAGGACGACGAGAAGAGAGTTTAAATAAAATAAAACTGAAGCAAAAGTTCAAAAATATTTTTAAAAAAAGAAAAGCAAACATTTTGGGTGGTTAAAAAATAAAAGGTGAAATTTGAGGTTGAAAGAAAATTGAAAAGAATATTAAAGAAAATAATGAAAATAAAGTTTTTTTAGCAGGCGCAAAGCACAGATTGGCCAAACCGATTAATTAAAATATTACTGTTATTGTAACTTCGTTCAATAGGAACACAATAGTTAACGCCCACTTATAAATAACTATCATCTGTGAAGTATTATAAGTTCGTAAATATGAGTAAGAAACGTTAAAAAAGGAAGAAAAATATTGTTTGTTACTCACAAGGGGAACTCAGAGCTGCTATCACAATCACATTTCCTTTGCATAGTTTCACTGAATATGCTTTAAGTAGAAACAACCTTCGACCATTTTATTTTAAAAATCAGTTTGAAGGTTTAAGTAGATTGTAAACATTTTGAACGAAACCAAGTATCACAAAGACTTCTTTACTTCCTTATTGACGAAATTATTCCGATTATCATTTATGCAAGTGCAATCCAATATAACCAATGAGTTTGCATTGAAATTGCGAATACCCCTCGCGTAATAAGTAAGCTCGAGTAACTTCCACCTAGAAATAGTATTCTCTTTGCCTAACAGTCCCACGACTCGTTCAAAATAATCTTTAAAAAGAATCCACATTAGCCATGATTGTCCTACTTTCCCTGCATTCTGCCACTGGACCAAACCAATTCAACCGCTCCGCAACCTCCGTGCGCTTGCGGGTCGGCGAAGCAGATGGACGTCGCTCGGCCGTCCACTTGCGCTGCTCAAGGGGCTTCTTCCTCTCGCCTCCGATCCAACACCAGGGCGCCCCCTTGAGCGGATTCGCAGATTGGCTACTTCTAGTGCAACGGCCGGTGGGCTCTCAATTAGAGGTTCTTGACTTTAACCTTTTGGACAGTTCGAAGCGGATAGGAGGAAATTAGAATGCCATACCAATACTTTAGCCATAAATCTGCTAGAGATAAGAGTCTTAAAAAATTTCAATAGCCTAGATTTACCTCGCAGATTTTGAAGTGTAATTATTGTACCTTCTGTATTAACGGAGTGATACTAATTTGAATTTTCTTCAATCAATGTCCATTATCTAGACAAATTAACTTGTTCTCGTGTATGAAGAGATTGTAAATAAACGTTTGCCACAAACTGCTGTTTGGGTGGATGAAATGATGTAGGTCATGGTTTATCTTTCCCTACCATGTCATCGGCACATGGAAGTTCCCATAGTTTGCCCGGAACGAATCCCTAATTCTGTCGCGGGGCATTCTGTCGCAAGACAATACATGTCTTGTTGTCTCCTTGCGTCAGTTCCTCCCTATACATTGCACCAACATCTACCCAGACAGTCATAAAACTACTACTGTATCTACGGTTTGCTACTTTAATATTCTTCAATTTAAGTTCATAAGACTTATGCTTGCATAGATACTTCACTATATTCTGTTATATTGTGGAATACGCGGATTTGAAACCCTAGTTCCACAGAAATTACAAAACACTATGTACTTTATTTTCGGTGTCCTGGGCCTGGGTCCATTGAGCCCGTATATACTTCCAAGCCATGGACTGTTAGCAGGATTAACAGACAAGGATTGAGAGTAATTCTTTATACCAGCAGTCCACCGCATTTTTAAAACAAACCACCACTTCGAAATTTTTGGTTTATATAGGTATTTTTGCGTTTATTTGATTGTTTTATTTTTTAATTTTAGGTAGATAAAAATGAGCCGAGTCTGCTTCGTCCTACAGCAGTCGGCCAGCCACCTAACCCGGCGCGGCGACCGCTCGTAACGGCTACGGCCGTGAGCGCAGTGCGCAGTGGGCCGGCGCCTCTTCCGCGGAGACGACCACGCATGCGCAGCACCGCTAATTAGCGCCAGCGCCCCCCCCCCAACTCCCCGCTGCCAATTAGCGTGAGCGCTTGCATGGCATGGGCAGCGCCCTGGCGCCGCTCCGCGCCCGGGTACAAGATCTCGGGAGACCTGTATAAGATACACTCGCCGCCCGATTCCTTTCGCTAATTCGTAGGGAGTTCGCACGCCTCTCGTGCCCACCAATCCATCGTCCACGCCCGTGCCAAACACACTCTCCATGGCTGACTGCCGTTCAAGGTTCGAGTCCCGATAGTGGCGGATTTTCGACACTAGCTACGTATGTGGGTGGAATTCAGCCGCTGTCTGGAGAATTCTAGTGGTCGTCTGCCCCATGATCGATAGTTTTCAGTGGTGTTATCCGGTGAATGCAAGGCGAAGGCCGGAACAGTTAGATAACAAAAGGGCCATGGATTGCGCGCGATGTTTCCTTCCGCATTTAAACTTGCGGGCACGCCGCTACCGCGATATAAGGAGGCTACCCGTGAGCCGAACAGCTTGTCTCGGCTGGGGAAGTGCCTCAATGGATACACCTCCCCACTCCACACCCCTGGAAGCGAAAAACTTGCAAGTCGATGTTATGTTAAGGTCAGCGCGTGACTGTGTACAAGTGGGGCAGGAACACCGCCTCCACCCAGGAAACACCATTACTCCTACGGAAATAATGGCCATGTTGACGCCTCAAACACGAAATATCCACGACCTGGGACAACCCTATCCTATGCCCGTGTCTATTATCCACGTCCATCCCGTCGCCTGCTGCCCAGCGCGCCCATTCGTGCTGAAATCTACCTGGTGCTCACGGTGATGCGCGCCGCTGTTCATCGCCAACAACTCAGTGCTCACCATCCAATATTCGCCCGCACGCATTGCTAATCATTTTCACAGTCGGCCGCTGCAAGCGCACGATCGTATCTCGTCTTGTAAGTTGCCCATTGTTGACTGTAACGCTCGCCGTTGGTTGGTCATTGCTCACTAAGCCAACTGTCACAGACATTCCGTCCAGCCGCCCTTCTCTCTAGCAAAAACTGACCATCACCAATTTCTACGGGATCGCACATCCCAATCCCCACCATCCCTTTCCTCCCCTGTGACCACGTACCATCCCCGCCCGCGGCCAATGCCAATCATCTACCTACACTACCTCCATCGCTGCCAGCGTCTGTCGTCCAGGAGACTGTCCTATGCCCACCGAGTTGCTCGCCACCAGCTGGCCATCGCCCACTAAGCCCTCCATCCACTGTGACATCCATTCACCGGCGACTCAGCCACCCCCTCAGCCACTCTGCATCTCGTGGCCCTACGCCCCTACGCTACAAAATCCTTCGTACGCCTTCCTTCGGAGGGGAAGTAAAGCCGGCTGTCCCATGTTAGTAGATT